AATTTTGTATTAGTAATTTTTTTAAAGGTCCTCCAAAATTTACTCCTTTTTGAGGAAATACAAATATAGTTTGAGAAATAGAGTAAAAATGCAGAGAAGTTTACCAGTTAGGGTTTGCTGTATTGGCATCTGACTAAATAGGGTTTTGGGTTTTTTTTTTTAATTTTTCAAGTCACGGCTTTTGTATTATCCGACCTAAATAATTTAGACCATCCTCCCATTCTCATCACAGAAAACATCCCCACCTTACCACGCTGTGAGCACACGCGTTTGCAAAGCTTCTCCAAGTTCCTGGGTAAGGGGCAAATGGCTGGTACAGAGAATGTCGGGTAAGGGGCAAATGGCTGGTACAGAGAATGTCCTCTTTCTGTGGTCATGAGAATGACATCTGTTTTGTTCACTGGTACAATAACTCAAACTGCCAAAATTACAGTTCTACTTGCATACATTTCTTATAAAAATGGTCCAGAGTAAAAAAGTAATTAGTATTTTTAACATTACTCTTAGGCCTAGTCTTTCTTCCTCATGTAGCAAATCCTAGAAAATAAGGACCATGCCTGAGTATATGGTTCAAATGTCACTGATCAAAGATCTATCTGCCTCCCTGATGATGAATGCATACTAAATGTACACATAAAGACGTATTAAGTTCTTTGAGGGCAGATTCTATGTTATTGAAATTTTATATCTTTCATGGTACTGAATATAGCACTTTTTGCCTGTTAGGTATATTGAAAATATTTGATGGATAATAAATGAGTCCATTTGTTAGGTGTTTGTTAATTAATAGTGTTCAAATGTGATCCATCCTAATCATTTTCTCTTTAAAATTGCTAAATGTATTGTATTTAAGGTAATTATTTTGGGATAGAGTTAAGAGCATTATTTGGGTTAGAGTGAAGAATTTTAATGGTAATAACACAATATTAATTCAAAAGAGATTATCTCAGCTTCTACATGATTCTAAAAGTCTGTTCTGTGAGTATATCGGAGGAAGGAAATAACACACAGTTGGTTAATTATTCAAGTTAAATTTACTAGAATCAATTAATCCAGTCAAAACATTTAACTAATTGCCCAATGCAGATCTAGCCTAAAATTAAGGTCTCTTATAGCTACATAAGTAATCCAAGTCACTCTTACGCTACTTAAATTTCTAGAGTTTCATATCCTGATTACATGCTACTTCTAAACAGAGAAGTTTAGGATTATACTTTCAAGGTCAAGCTCTTAACAGCAGTAATGATTTTTGTTGTTGTTATTTGGTAATGACGTCTTCAAATGTTATTATCCTAGGAAATTGCGTATTTCCTCTGTTGTTTGTATATATGCATTTATGTATACACAAGAAAATATTTGTTATTTTTCCCAATGTTATGGACCTAAACTGTGAAAATCAAGACAAAATGTTAAATGTGAAAATGGAAGCATCCTTTTTTTTGGTTTTAGAAAAACATCAGGAAGTCATGCCATCATATAGTAAACTAAGACATAGGTTGTATTTATAAAATGCCAAAACACACAAATAAACATGGAAAAAAATTAGCAACATACAGAATTTTTTTTCTAGATTATGAAAATTATCTGCAATTTTTGCCTTTTGGGAAATTTTTTAAATTTATGCAGAAATTATTTCTTTCTTAAGGCATTTTAAAAATTAAAATATTGCCATAATCATGAATAAATCATATCTGGTCATGAACTGAAATTTTTGTTGGGAAACCTACGTACAAGTCTTTATAAACAACTCTTCATTAAATTTCTATTAATACATAATCAGTGTTTTAAAGAAACACTGTGACTGAAAAGAAATTTGTCATGAAAATAGCATTATCGGGCGCCTGGGTGGCTCAGTCGGTTAAGCGGCTGCCTTCAGCTCGGGTCATAATCCCAGGGTCCTGGGATCGAGCCCCGCATCGGGCTCCCTGCTCGGCGGGGAGCCTGCTTCTCCCTCTCTCTCTGCCTGCCTCTCTGCCTACTTGCTCTCTCTCTGTATCTCTCTGCCAAATAAAATCTTTAAAAAAAAAAGCATTATCTATAACGTCAATTATAATTTAGAAAATGATATATCTTAAAGCAAAAGTTTCTAAGAGAAATTCTGATATCATTAAAAGCCGCTTCAAAAACAGAGCTGTTTTCACCTTAGTTAGAAACACCCTGTTTCTCCAAGTTGGTTTAATTGCATCTCAAGTGAAAACATGTTTTGTTCTCATTAAGTGCCATTTGAATTTCTGATTGAAAGTCCTAGGCACTGTGAAATAACAGCACCTTAACTGCACGGACATTTCTGTAAAGAAAAAAAAAACAAGCAGTTTCAAAACATTTGGAACACAGAATAGATTCAGTCAAGCAGACAGTAAAATCTTGGGGAATTTTCTGATTTATAAGAAGAGCGGATATAAGCCAAGTTAGCTTGTGGACATATCTGATGAATCTTGGGTGATTTTTACCGTAGTAAACACAACCCGTGATTAAATCATAAACCTAATAAATACAATTTCTTGACATTTTGGCGAATTACTGGTATACAATTGAATCAAGGCTCTGCTTGTCTTGTGTCTGTCTCTGAAAAAGAGAATGTTTAGGAGCGCCTGAGTGGCTCAGTCCTTAAGCCTCTGCCTTCGGCTCAGGTCCTGATCCCAGGGTCCTGGGATCGAGCCCCACATCAGGTTCCCTGCTCGGCGGGAAGCCTGCTTCTCCCTCTGCCCCTTCCCTGCTTGTGTTCCCTCTTTTGCTGTCTCTCCCTCTCTCTCTGTCAAATGAATAAATAAAATCTTTAAAAAAAAAAGAATGCTTATTGTTTACTATGATGATTATTGATTAAAAAAACGCCACACATTCTAGCATACCCAGGACCATGCTGGTTTATACCTGTGATACCAGGTGTAATTACGAATAGCACTTTTCTTCATTCTCATATGTGCTTGTATGGGTCCATACATTATAGTCACTCCTTTAAAATATGATTTTGTTTGCAGAATTTTGTGTTTGGCTATCACTTATTTAGCATTGATTGACCTGTATGCCAGACATTGCGCAAAAAGTTTCATATGTTACGATGTTATTTAATCTTCACTATAATTCTGTGAGGTAGATATTATTTTTCACTTTTCATTTTATAAATGCATAAAGTTGAGAATTTCAAAATCCTATACCTTAAACAGTTACCTAAGACCGTGTCTACACAATACCCTAATACTAAAACCATTCCAAAAGTTGCAAATGTTTTCAGATATTTGATCACTCAGTATTACTTTACACTGCCCCAATAACATTTGAAAATGGGATTTTTTTTCATTCAACTTGCATAGTTTCCCTTTTTTAGATTCTTCTTTTAATAACTTTGGCTGAAAATGTTTGGCAAAGAAACAGTAAGAAACTTCACTATTCTTGGCTAAATTAACAGAGCAATCTCTTCTCTAAAACTAATTAAGCACTAATGCTTAATTACTTTTTAGAGGAAAATAAAGAAAAAAAGTAGAAAGAAGCATATACATGTGAAGAATATGATGGTTTTCTCAGAAGTACTTACAAATGACTGGGTTTTTTTCCCCCCTGAATTAGAAAAATCTTTCAGCAGATTACAAAATATTCTCAATTTCCTACTTTCTCTCCCTTTCTCTAGATTTGCTTTTCAGAAATTTCACTAGGATTCCATGGCACTAAATTTCCACTGATCACAGACAGTAAGTATCTCCCAAATATGACTTTTAAGCCCCAAATATCCAATGGCTATTAATAGATAATTTGGAAGATATGAAAATAATTACCAGAATAAAAAGCCTAAGTTTTACCAGAACAACTTTATACAAGTATTATTTGTGGATCTGGTTACCAGAAAACTTCCTATGTGGAATGGATATGGAACTGAGGAGAAGTAGGAAGGAAAGGAAACACAAGTCAGTGCTAATTGAGAGACCTGGGAGACACATTTAAATTCAAGTACATGATTATCAAAGTCCTTGTCAGTCTAAAATGTAATTTATTATTGAAAATGGTACTTAAACTGTAATTTATTATTGAAAATGGTACCTTAAAAATGTATGCTCTGGATTATTCTATAAAGCTACAGTTGTCAAATGTGTCAGTCAGTTGTTTAGTGGACGAATCTGCCTGCCATGTTTTTAATCAAATTGTAAATTGAGGCCAGGATTGGAGTGAGCCACACAGTCCTCTACAATACAGATTTCAGTGAAAGTTACACAGGTTGGGGTAACTGGGTGATAGACATTAAGGAGGGCACGTGATGGAATGAGCACTGGGTGTTATGTAAGACTGATGAATCACTGACCTCTACCTCTGAAACCAATAATACAGTATATGTTGACTAATCAAATTTAAATTTGAAAAAAAGGAAAACATTAAAAAAAAGAAGTTATACAGGAGCTAGTCCTGTGGTGAATTAAAGCCTTGACAAAATTACAGCTCCTCCATTATCCATTCAGTGCTGAGGGAGAGGGAGAATTACTCTGAAAAAGAGCAAAGATAAAAAGAACCACATGGCAACCTTATGAGTAGAGTTGCTATCACTAATTCAGGTTTTAAAAAATCAACTTCTATTTTATCTATCTATCTATTATCTATCTATGTTGTTATACGATACAATAAATTGGATTCTTGCCTCCAAGTTTGCTTAAGAAAGCTGATCTTACAAGTTCAGTCTTCTCTAACAACTTGTTCACTTATTCAACACTAAACTGCAAGCCTGCCATGCCTTGTTCTGGGATATAGGGATAGAATGGTAAGTGAAACAAAGTATTACACCCATAAAGCTCAAACTCAGGCAATAAACAACTAAACTAAATGTATAACCACAGACAACACTTCCAAGTGGTCATAGGTGAAAAATAAAACAGTGGAAGACGATAAAGAATAACAGAGGGTTGGCTATTTGACATAGAGTAGTCAAGGAAGTCTTCCTTAATTAAGGAACAGTTAAGCAGAGAATTCAATGATGTAAAGGGATGAGTCATGCTGAGATCATAAGGAAGCATCTCAAGGAGAAAGGACAGCATATATAAAAGTTCTGCAGCAAGAATAAGCTTGGTGCAACACAGGAACAGAAAATGGACCAGTGAGGCTAGAGGGGTATGAACAGAGGGATGACAGTAGAAGATGTGGACTCAGGAGAGAGAAAGGCAGTGCTAGAACTCATGGACCTTGAAGGCCATGGTAAGAAGTTTGAATTGAATTCTATGTGTGTGAAGTCATCAGGGAGTTTTGTGAAAGGAGAGTGACCTGATCTGATTTATACATACATATATATGTATATACACATACGCATAGACATTTATTTATTTGAGAGTGTGAGAACACGAGCAGGGGGAGGAACGGAAGGGGAAAGAATCTCAAGCAGACTCCATGCTGAGCATGGAGCCCCATGCAGAGCTCCATCTCACCACCCTGAGGCCATGACCCTGAGATCATGACCTGAGCCAAAACCAAGAGTTGGTTGCTTAACCAATGGAACCACACAGGTGCCCCTGATTTGTATTTTCTGAAGACCACTCTTAACTACTAAATGCAGGACAGATTGTAGGGGGAAAGAGTGAAGGCAGGAAGACTAGTTCAAAGTTAATATAATTATCCTCTTGAGAGACAGTGGTGAGGGAGCCAGGGTGACCGCAGCCTGGGGGGAAATGATTCAAGTACGGATAGACAATGAAAGTGGAGCTGACAGGACATGCTGAGTGCAAATTGTATAGGGGTAAAGAAAAGAAGAGAAGCAAAGAAAGACTACGAGATTTTCACCTGAGCAACTAGGTAAAGATAGTGACATTTATTGAAATGGGAATCAATTTGGGCAGTGCGGGATTGGGTCAGGGGAGGAAGAATAAGAAAATCAAGAAACCTGCATTAGGGTGTTACATTTGAGATGTCCATGTGCCCAAGTGCAGATGCGAATTGGACACTGCCTGGAGCTCAGGAGAAAGTTTAGAGCTACAGACAAATTAGAGAGTAACCCATAGAAAGATGGAATCTACAGTTATGAGACTACATTTCTTAGGTAGGGTGTGTAATTACAGAAGAGTAGAGGACTAAAAATGGAGCCCTGCAGCCCTCCAACATTTCAAGGTCAGGAGGAAAAGAGGGAATGAGCAAAGGAGCCTGAGACTCAGAGTCAAGGGATGGAGGGAGAGAATCAGAGAGGTGAGGTATCCCAAAATCCAAGGGAATAAAATGCTTCAAGAAGACAGTAGGGCAGTTGCTACTGGTTATTTGCCTATAATGAGGTCTTGAGAGAGTTCATGGGCTTTCTGCAAGATGGAGGTCACTTTTGACCTTAAGAAGAGCAGTTTTATTGGAGTGATAGGGGTATATACTTGATGGGAAAAAGAATGGGGACTTTCAGTTTGACATAGAGATTTGAACACATGTGTTTATCTCCTATGCATTCTATGCCAGGTCAACTCTGAAATAGCCCCCAACATACCTTCTAGCATTTACACTCTTGTGTAACGCCCTTACTTTGCGTGTATGCTTTTAACCAATAGAATGTAGCAGAAGTGATAAGATGTCACTTCTGTGATTAAGTTACATAAAATAGTGACTTCCATCTTCCTAGCTAACTCTCAATTGCTGACTTTGATGAAGCATGCTGACATATGGAGAGGGCCATGTGATAAGGCACCAAGGGTGATTTCTGGCAAACAGTCACTAAGGAACTGAGACTCAGTTCAACAGCTCAGAAGGAACTGAAACTTCTAATAATTATAGGAGCATGGAATCGATACTTCTTCCTTTGAGCCTTCACATGAAGAGGCCCTGGCAGGCACCTTGATTATAGTCTTGTAGGACACCATAGCTAAGCCACATGCAGACTCCAGACCCACAGTGATTCTGAGATAATTCATGTGTGTTGTTTTAATCTGCTAAATTCATAGTAATTTGTTACAAAGCAATAGATAACTAATACACCTCTTGAGATGCCACTAAAATGAAAGTGAAGAAAGAAATAATTGGTACTAAACCCCCAAGAAAAAGAAAGAAAAGCTAGAAGAGGTAACAATAGTAGGTAAGATTGGGGCCCCTGGATGGCTTAAACAGCTGAGCAATTCTTGATTTCCGCTCAGGTCATGATTTCAGGGTCATGAGATTGAAGCCCCGCACTGAGCCCCGCAACCAGCTCCGTGCTTAGTGCGGAGTCTGCTTGAGATTCGCTCCCTCTCCCTCTCTCCCTGCTCATGCTCTCTCTCTCTCAAATAAATAAGTACATCTTTTTTTTAAAAAAAAGTAGGTAAGATATATTGATATATTAAAATTTTGTGAGATGGAAAGCTCACAGATTTGTAATAACTAACTCAGTAAAACCATAAAAGCTGAAACCTATGTCCCTATGAAAGAGGAAACCAACAAGAAGAAAGTTGATTCCTGCCGAAGAACTGTACAAAAGCTCAAGAATTGGAAGGACCAGGGGCACCTGGATGGCTCAGTCAGTAGAGCATGCAACTCTTGATCTCAGGGTCCTGAGTTCGAGTCCCATGTTGGGGGTAGAGTCTTCTTAAAAAAATAAAATTAATAAAATTTTAAAAAAGAATATTTGGAAGCACCAGGTATATGGAAAGCTAGGGGGACAGGATTGAATGAATCAAAGTATGAGAGAGAAGCATTTAGGTACGCAGATCCAATCCAGAGCCTTGAAAAGCAGATAATGGAGACTTCTCTCACATGTGAGGGGACAGGAGGTTTATTCTCTGAAGAAATGGAAGCAGAGAGATTTTGAGCTTGGCAAGAGAAGTGCAAATATGAGGTCTCAGACTGAAAATAGGGAAATTAAGAAAGTTGCCGGAAAGCGGGCAATCTAGCTCATACACGTGTGCCCGCACACACACACCCCCACACACACCCCAGGCTTAAGATGAGAATAGTCTTGTCTGGAAAAATTGATAGACTTGTGACAAAAGACTTACAGCAGCTCCACAGAGGCAGCCTCAGGGCAAGACTGAACGAATATGGCTCTGGGCTCTCCACTCTACCTCAAGGAGTACAGCATTGCTTTGTCTTTCTTTCCTAGGCCCTGGACTCCTTAGCTGTGGCTCTGAGGGCTTGGAGCTCTACTGGGGGAAGCTAGGACCACCAGGAAAACAGCCTCTCTGGTGCCCATCTCAGTGATTCCCTTCCTCTGTTTGGAAACATACACGGCGTAGATGAAGCTTCAAACAGTTCCTTTCTAAAAATCAAGTTTTTAGTGGTAAATCTACCTGTACAGCCCAGGTAGCTAACTATGAGGGAATTTTTGGTTGGCTGGTTGGTTGCATTCTTTGGGTGGCGAGAGTTTTTTTCTGGTTGAAATAAAAGTTGAAAACCAGTGGTTTCAATGGTAAATCAGATGAAATGTATAGGGAAAATAGGAATTCATCTCAAAATAATACTAAGTCCATTAGAAGTTAAATAAATAACAGTCTTTTTATGAAAAATAATTCTATTTTCCCAAACAAAAATCATTTTCGTGAGAAGAAAGCATTGGTTTACATTTTTGTCAATCTTTTTAATGTCTGGCTCAATAGAAGACAGCTGGATCCTCATATCTGCTTCTGCATTCAATCTGTTGCAATATGTTGTTTTGGTTGAAGTATATGTAGCAAATCTGGCCTCAAACAGATGGGTAGTTGCAAAAGGGACTTCCTGAACACTCTCAGGACCTCTAGAAGTCCTTGAAGTATGTGCTGAGAATTCTGATGTAGGGTACTCCTTCGAGAAATTTATAATGAAAATCGACAAATTGGGTGGCAACTCAAGGAAGGATAAGGTTTGAGGGAAAGATTCAAGTTCATTTGTTTTTAAGAATAAGGCGAACCTATGAACACCTGGATGGCTCTGTTGGTTGGGCGACTGCCTTTGGCTTGGGTCATGATCCCAGGGTCCTGGGATCGAGTCATGCATCAGGATCCCTGCTCAGCAGGGAGCCTGCTTCTCCCTTTCCCTCTGCCTCTCTCCCCTGCTTGTGGTCTCCTGCTCTCTCATTGTCAAATAAATAAATAAAATCTTAAAAAAAAAAAAAAAGAATAAGGCGAACCTAAGGATGAGTGGAAGTCCAATGGGAGAGAAGGAAACAAGAAAGGGAGAACACGAAAGATGCAGAAGAGACAAAGGTTGAATCAAGTTCCCCCACGGAGGGCAGAAGTGAAGGGATGGAGAGCAAGGTGAAAGGCTAGCCTTTAAAGAGGGAGTGCTAACTTTTCGTTTTGACACAAAAGCATATGGAGGATAGACGGTCTTAGAAAATCCAAGGTAGCAAGAACATGGCAATTGCTTAAGATGAGGAAATGGGAGGTGCTTTCAGTCTTTTCAGTCAAGAATGGATGGGAGAACAATGTGGAAAGTGAGCAATGTAGGAGCAAAGTTGAAAACTTGAGGAAACATGGCTGTGGGGGAATGAAAAAGAGAAAAATCAAAATCAAAATTAAACGAGCAGCATTTGTAGAAATACGCAGCACAATGCTCGACTCATAATGGGTGCCCATGAAATGTTCCTTTTAAATAGATGAAAGGACATCAAAGAGGGGTTCTTGGTGGAGGACACCAAGCAAGATAGCATGGCTTTCTAGTAAACTGTGTAGTGGCTGAGGAAGAGGGGGGACTTGGAATCCAAGATCTGGGTCAAGGATGGACACACTTCTGCTTCCTTGGGTGATTTCACAGACTCCCAAGGGATTGACTGTCTCTCTGAAATGGAGTAAAACCAAGTCACATGGGAAATATTTATAATGGAGATGACCTTTGGACTTGGTCACCCAAAAGTGGATCTTACAGAGTATCATCACCCTCTTCTGAACATAATTCAAACAAGCACTACACTTATTTATACTTATCATCTGGTCCTCATTTCAGGAAATCTCTTTCCAACTGTCTGCCATGTATTTATTAACAGCTCTCATAGTCACATAAAATATCAACTAAAAGAAGAAGAAAGATAGAGGTGAACTAAAAAAGTTTATCCTGTGGAATTTTAGTTAGGCACACCCAGCACCACTTTTAATTGAGGAGGTTAAAAGAGCCATTTTATTCCAGACTTTCTTTAGAAAGCTATGCTTGAATCCACTTATTTTCCTTTTTCTTTAAGAATAGCCTAAACTGGGGTCGGTTAAGCATCTGCCTTCAGCTCAGGTCATGGTCCCAGGGTCTTGGGATCGAGTCCGACATCAGGCTTCCTGCTCAGCGAGGAGTCTGCCTCTCCCTCTCCCTCTGCCCCTCCCTCTGCTTGTGCTCTCTCTCTCTCAAATTAATAAATAAATAATAATAAATAATTTATAAATTAATAAATAATAATAAAATAAAATCTTTAAAAAAAGAATAGCCTAAACTGTTTCTCCTGAAATGTTTTCACTCAATTTAAATCTTTGACACTATCATCTTTTTCTTCAATGCCTGACTTAGGTTGAGGTCATTAATTCCTAATATTAAAAATAATTTCTTAGACTTAATCTTTCATTATTTCTCTCTTGGAAATGAATATTAATATATCTACTTTGTTTTTCATCTTTGTTTTCCCAATTTATTTTCTTATGTAAACACTTTGAAGTACCTTCTTTATTAATTATTCCATGAAGGAATATTCAGCTTCGTTTGATTAGCACACTATTATTGTCCCACCGTGAACTTATTCCATGACCATGAATAATTCCAATCTCAATGCCTTAACTTCTGCATTTACAGAATTAAATATTGGGAAACTATGCACTAAAAAAGCAGAATACAATAGATCTGATTCCCAAATTGACCAATCATTTAGATTTTCCTCATTTATTTATTTATTGAAGAGAGAGAGAGCACACGTGCAGGCCAGGATGTGAGGGGCAGAGGGAGAGAGAAAAAGAGAATCTTAATCAGGCTTCATACCCATTGTGGAGCCTGATGTGGGGCTCGATCTCAGGACCCTGAGAGCATGAGCTGAGCGGAAATCAAGAATTGGACGCTTAACCCACTGAACCCCCCAGGCACCCCTTGATTTTCCTCATCTTTTAAAATTTTAGGATTATATAGACAAAACTAACAAAGCCAAAGGAATTATATACCCATTTGTCTTTACTGTCATATAGATACAGCCTATAGTAATATTTTCACTATATTTCCATATGACTAATATTATATAAAAAGAGTAGTGAGAATAAATATAATTTATGGCTCCTCACTAGATTGCTGGCACTGTGGTGAGAGCTTTACATATATCATCCTATTTTAATTTCACAACAACCCTATGACGTTAGTACTCTTATTTCCATTTTACAAGTGAAGAGCTTGAGTGAAGTAAGTTATCCAAGTTCATCACCAGCACTGAGTGGCAAGGCAGGGCTCAAGCCCCTTCTATTATACACTCTATTACATTGGTTCCATTTTTATTCTTTAGAATGTAAATGCTGAAGACTGAAGAGTCGTGTGTGTGTGTGTGTGTGTGTGTGTGTGTGTTTACACGTGTGTACTGCAAACACTGCATAAGAGGAACAGAACAGTTATGAAAATGTGAAAAATAGAAGTAAAAATCTACCCCTTTCATATTTTGCCTGCGTGTCTCCAACACATGAGAAATCCGGGTGGCACAAAGAAGGAAATAAAGGTTTGGGGGAACTCCTGACAAAGTTCCTTTAATCAAATAAGGTGACTGAAAAATTCAAGCTTATTGATCACAGATTTCAAATCTCTTTGAGTGAAACTATTCTGCTTGGCTCGGTTTTGATTTGATCTTGTAGGTCCTTGTGTTATCAGACAGAAAGCTCTAGGTGTCCTTTATATCACCAGATCAGATATTTTAATATATTTTTATTTTTTTTTAAATTTTATTTATTTATTTATTTATTCATGAGAGTCAGAGAGAGAGAGAGAGAGAGAGAGAGAGAGGCAGAGGGAGAAGCAGGCTCCCCGCCTAGCAGGGACCCTGATGCGGGACTCGATCCCAAGACCCTGGGATCATGACCTGAGCCGAAGGCAGACGCTTAACCATCTGAGCCACCCAGGCGCCCCAGATATTTTAATTTAAAATTCAGTAAATAAAATAACACTCATGTGTGCCACATTACCGTTAGTTTCTTTTAGGATCCCCCAGTGGAAATCTGGTTTGTGGAAATCTCTATTCAAGTCTGTTTCAAATCCCACATGAAATCTCATTATTATGATTATTTTCATATTCTTATCTGAAGCCACTTGCTTCTACAAGGTAACGCCCACCTCCTCAAAACAAATCATTTATAAATGATACATCTAGCTTAATGAAACTTCTAATTTGTAGCAAGAGACACCCATCAAATAAAGAAGTTTTTAATGTTTAAAGTGTCATTTGAACAAACTAGCCCTAACTACAAAGCTACACCAGGCTTTTTTTTTTTTTCAGTTTCTGCTTTCCTTTACAGGATTTCGATATGCTCCAGTTACCTCCAGGAGTTTAGTAATTCTTAAAACTAATTTAACTTTAATTCACTCAAAAATAATAGCCACATTATACAGCAACATTCAAGGGTCTTTCGGTGTAGGTCTATTTCAGATCTGGAAAAAATTTTCAAAATCTAAAAAGCTCTCAAGAGAAAATAAATTACAATGCTATTATCATAACTTACTTTTATGACACCACTCATTATGTAAAATTCCACAGTATTAAAAAAGCTAATATGAGAAACTTATTTATGATTTACTTAATAATGGACCTATCCTCAGTAGTCTACTAGTTAGTACACCGGATAATAAACTCTCCGTGAAGTCAACCAGATTTTTCACTATGAACACAATTACTATGGCCACCAAATCCTATTCATATCTTTAGAGTCGACTCTTCTGTTTGTCTGGTTTTGTTCCTCTCATTTCCTTCCCCCCAGCTTCCAAGGAAACCCTCTGCCTGTGAATTATGTTCTTTCTGCATCTTTATGGAAATAGCCACTGGGAAATACGGTCCTCGGCAGAGTTACACAGTCACAAAAATGCCCTCGTCCTTGTACAGCTTGGAGTGTCTCCAGTCCCCTCCCTCACAGCATCATATGCCATTGCTCTTTGTGCAAGTTACATTTTTGTGGGAGTTAAACAGCAGGAACGGGAGTCTGAGCCTCACTCCCATCCACACTCCAAATTTTCCATAGATCTGTTTATCACCCCCACCACTGCAATCAATATTGCAAGGACCTAGGTGATTCTTTATGGGATTTCGGAATAGAACCTTGCCCTGTCTCTGATCCGGGCGCCGGACTTTCAGAGGTATGCTGCTTTGTGTCTTGGGGGCTCTGGGAAGCCTTCCTGGCAGGTTCTTGAGACGGAAGTAACAAGCATCCTAGGGACAGGTGACAATGCAGGCATGTCACTCTGCCTTGAGATGCTCTTTGAACAGTGAGCATGATAAGGATCAAAGGAATGAGCACGGAAAGAATATGAAGAATGAGTCCTCAGAAAAGGGCCTGAAAATCTGTCACCAGCACTGGCCCAGGACAGAATTGTGAAATATGAAAATAAATATTTATATCCGGTGCTGGCAGCCTCCTTTCCCTTTTTTCATCTTTTCCTTATATCTTGACACCCAGGCTTTTTATACCACACAGTGTTTCCCTGTCCTGGGTCTCACTTCCAGATAGCCCCTGCTTTCTTCCCCTGTGCTCCATCCTGGATTTATTTGATCTTTGTTATAGACCATTTAAACTAATTTGTGTTTATAGGGTAATACGTTCATATAGTTCTGCTTTATCTATTTTATGGACAATTCAGGAAGTATAATGTATTAAGCCAAGTGAATACGGTGGGAAAGACAGGTTCAAGAAATCTTGGCTTTAGCTCTCCTGTGACCCCCCCATACAGGCCAGCCCTATGTCATGTGATCTAGCACTTCACTATATCCTTCTAGACAGAAGATGATATATGGTTCTACATAGAACATCTCTAGATAACCTCTGGTTATCTCCCGAAATAAATCTCAAGCTTTACGAAGGCTCTGCCCTTAACCTTGTAAATGTCACAGAGCTGGACATGTTAATGTGTGCACATCAGGAACACAACACTGGTTAACACAATTTTCACCCCCCAAAAATAAATAAATAAAATAAAGGCCTTTGAGAAACACACATAAACACATTCTTTATTTTCTTTCGACGAAGCTTCTTACTCTCAGGCCCATTCCTGCCAAGTGTGGTAGCTAATACAAAATCTCCCTCTTCTAGCTTCACTCGGGTCCAGCTTGGGGGTTCTGTCCTTGGAAGTGTCTAACGGGAGAAATCAACTTCAGTACAAAGGAAGAGGTTTTCAAGGAAGTGAATTTAAAATGGAGACCTAAAGGTAAGTAGGAGCTTACGAAGAGAATGGGGACAAGTACTCCAGACAGAGAAAACTGCAAGGGGCTTGGGGCATTCGGGGACGAGAAAAGAAGGCAACAGGTCTGGGGAACAGTAAACTCACTTCAGACTCCAGCCATATTGTTGCATGGGGTAACTGCGCAGGCAGACCATGCCTGGCCTCAGACAGGTGAGAACAGGCGGATGGGGGGAATGTGACAGGTTTTAGCCAAATTGCACGATCTTATTCTGACCTAAAATTACCCACTTTTACTTACAGAATTACTCAAATATACCCTTATTGCCACAGATCTTCAATACAGTCTTCTCTGAAGTCTCTCGAATCCTCTAGAGAATATGTTGCCCATCCTGGGGGTGCAGTAGTCACTTACCAAACAAAACCATGAACTGCTATTCTTGATAAATTCTCTATTCACAACTAATGTGAATTGACAACTCTCACCTTGTAGAATAATAATAAAATCTGAGCAACCCAAAGTACAGTTTTATTTGAAGCAAGGGGTTTATTAGTCACTTATATGTTAAAAATGAAGTTTCTGGCATATCCCAATTTTTAAACCTTATCAAATCTTTAGTAGTAATCCACCTGACCAAAATACTTGGTTACTTCCTACATACTGGCACAAGCAACCGTCCATTAAATGATGCTTTGGCATTGAAAAGAGAAATACTCAGATGTATTTGGTAGTATTCAAAAATCCAGTTCATGTGGCAATAAAAATCAACAATGGCCTTACTTTGCCAAATATGTGTAACCTATATTTGGGGATATAATAAAATTTTCCGTACCACAATAATCAAAACATTTGTTGTATGATGCATGTACCATATAAATTTAAGCATCAAATGTTTTTGAACATGAAGTACATTAGAAACACTGAGTCTCAGAAAAGATCAAATGATACTCACATATGCAAGTGCTTTGAAAATGGTAAAACACTATAAAATATATCAAGTTAGGTATGAAAGTAATATATACACACAATAGCAGAAACCAAATGTAACCGCATGCTGCAAATGATGTAATGATTCTTATTTGTCTAATTTGCATTTTCAGAAAAGACCGTTCATATGTTACAACAGCAGCTAAGTTTACAACAATTTTTCTTTGTTCTTGGCAAACAAAAAAAGGTTAAGAATTTGCAGACAAGTCTTGGCAAAGAGATATTCTGATGCAGCCTTGCCAATCCCTGAGAGCTACAGTATACAGCTGGAAAACGTTTGGAGGTTATGGACGTGTTAGAAAAACTTTCCGTTAGTACTGCTAATCAGTATAGCAACATCTTCAGGTCATAATTGGGTCTTGAGGAGTATTAACATATTCCTAGAGCATTTTACACACCGGTTGGTTCGTCCCATTCCCATTCAGAGGGTCTCATTTTGATGTGGAAATATCATTTGAGTGCAATAGTAAAATAGTATAATCAGTAAGTTCCCTAGTCCATCTAAATATGTAATTTGGGGACACCTGGGTGGCTCAGTCGGTTAAGCGTCTGCTTTCGGCTCAGGTCATGATCCCAGGGTCATGGGATGGAGTCCTGCATCGGGCTCCCTACTCCACGGGGCGCCTGCTTCTCCCTCTCCGGCTCCCCCTGCTTGTGCACGCGCTCTCTCTCCCTCTCTCTCTTTCTCTCTGTCAAATAAATAAATAAATAAAATCTTTAAATAAAATAAAATAAATTTGTAATTTGACTTGGGTTACCACATTTTGTACCATCAGAGGTCAACTGGACTATTTCCCTACCACAAAGTTTTGTTTTCTCACCCAGAATTTCACCAATATACATGGAAAAAGCTTTTAATTCTATTCTCAAAGAAGAGACAAACTTTTTTGTATCCAACTATACCTCTGGCTGGACACGTGTATCCACAGACCAGACTGGGAGCTTGAGAGGAAGGTGGAACTGGAAGGGAGTTTTTAGATCATGCAATTGATTCCACTGACCCATTACCCCATTTGACAGATTGAGCCTGAGCCCCAGGGAGGCATTTCTAGTCTCGCCGTGTTTCTAGTCCTTTTATTTTAAAGTGACAAATCAACTGCTGTTGGAGAAATGATGGCCACATTTTTTTTTTTTACTCTCTTTACACATTTTTTACTCTCCTTTCCCTTTTTCTTGCTTGTTCAGACAGGATGCATTTCCTCTTTGTCAGCCTGTCTCAGGCCCCACATTCTTTTGCCCCTTATATGGAAAGATTCCACTTGCTTAAACATGTTGAGAAGCACAAATAAAAAGGAGCCACTAAAAAGATTTACATATATATCATATGCATAAATACCTATGCAAGGTTCAGTACACCAATGAACACAAAGAATTACCTAAAATAAACTATTTTACAAAACAATTGCCCATGATTTGACATTATTCTAGTGTCATTAAAATGGCCTTATTTACATACCTCTCTGTCTTTATAGAAAGGTCACGGTTTTGTTGTCCCAAGTTTTCCCATGAACCTATCTTCATTTGGATCATTTTAAAACTAAAACAAATTAAAGGAAAAAAAAAAAACTAGACCAAAATAGATGCCCTGACACTGTTTTTAAAAGAACGCATTTCTTCTACATCTTTTTGTTGTTTTCAAGTTACAAAATAAAAGGACACTTATTATAAAGAAATTTGAACAGCCCAAGACTATAAAAGGGAAAAAAATGGATATTCTTCCCTTTAACCCATTCAACTAATCCTTCAGAAGCATCTATTGTACTCAAAAGCCAATACGGTATTGTATTTAGGATTTTAAATCCTGAAATCAACCTGTCTGGCTTCAAATCTTGGCCTGCCACTTCCTAGTTGTGTAGCCTCAAACAAGTTAACTAGCGTTTCTGTGCTTCATTCACATCATCAACAGAAGGCGACTAATAAAAAGCGCTTATCATCTAAGGCTGTTGTATGGGATAAATGAGATAAAGGTACCTATCGGACATAATATAAATGCTCAGTCAATTTTAGCTGTTATTATCAAGTCCTTTTAAAATGCAAAGAAAAGTGTAAGCTATTATAAATTACATAGCTACAGGAATAAGCTATATATTTCAATAAAACTTGGGGGACAAGACCTTCCACCCGCACTGCCACCACCACCACCACCATCAAAAAGCTATAAAAATAACAACTGTTGAAAGAAATTCTTGGATCATGAAGCTATGATATAAATTTATATTTCATTATTCTGTACTTCAACGTCAAATTTACTTTAACAAATTAGTAGTAGTAATGCTAACTGGCTAAATTATAAGGCCTACATCAAAACCTTTTGAAAAGTAGACATGACTTTTGAAATTATTTGAATGAATTTTATTTGAAAAGTAATTCAAAATACCTTGACTAAATATGTATGCTTATATGAGTATCAAACAGAAATATCTTTCCAGCTAAATTCCAATTCCTCTAGAAGTTTCTCCACTCTCCACATTCCCCCATAATGCAGTGTCCTCTCTCCCACTTCTTTCTCTTGGTTCCCGAATTATAAGGAAGGCCAGCTCAGGAGCTGGAAGCCTGTGGCACACAGAACAACCTGTCTGCGATCACGTCGCAGCCGCCCACTTGACGTGTCTTGGCACCGAGGAAACCAAAACCATGTCGAGCCCAAGACTGGAGCTTCTACGCCAGTCCCACCCTTACTGGGCCTGGTTGCGTCCTTAGCAGCCATAACATCTCAGGTCCTCAGGCTACACTTTGCATTCGGGTCACAGCCGCGCACTCCTAACCTGATGGCTACCCATCACCTCCTCATCTGCTCTGAAATCTCCTCTAAAGCACACCTTTACCTTTACATAGTGTAGTTAATGTTATGAGGGTCTTTGCCTCATTTGAGAGCTCTTGGTTTTTTATCAGTGACTACATCCGACTGACTCAAACACAAGCCACGCAAGTCACCTGACAAATCATAATTTGGATACGCTTCGCCAAAGTTCTCAAAACCCACCGAGCGAAAGAGACTTAAAATCATCCAGCTACTGTGGCTCCTTTCAGCTTAAGTATGAAACACATGTGCATCATCAGGGCTATAAAACTGGCCAGAAGTGTCCGTGATGATCAGGAAAATAATGAGAACAAGTGTATATTTTTACAATATTATAGAAGAGGTTTTCTACAGAACTTTGGGGCTATATGCAGCTCTTACTCACTCATAATACATGTTTCTAAGGAGTCTCTGTATCCCACAGAATGATGTGCACGTGTATGCGTGGTGTGTACGTACTGAGAACCGAGAATGATGAGGCAAGGTCATAAGTTTGCTTACTGATGTATTTCTTGATAAAAATCTGTTATGTTTTTCATAATTGTTTGAACATGTATGTCTGGTTTCTCTGAGATTTGGAACAGTTTCCATCTTATCTGGGCTAGCTGGTAAAAATCTCAGTACATAATTCAAGTATTTCAAAAATATACCCTCATTTCCTCAAAATTTCAAATCCTTAATCTTTGGGATTGATGAAAAAATTAACATCAGTCTTTTTAGGATCCCCTTCCCAGCGATTTTTTTTTTCCCAGGATAACTGGGTGGATGGACAGAAGAACTGAGGATACCCCTTGGTCCTGAAGTGTATCCATCCTCCTTGACTGCTGAGAAGAGGTTAGGTGTCAGTGTGCATGGCGTGGTGTGGTGTGGTGTGGTGGTCTTGATGTTTTGGGGCAACAGTGTGAGCCTTTTGTGTAGCCATAAGTAAAGCCATTAGTCTCAGCATAAACAGTCATTCTTCCTGCACTCATCTGTCCCTCCATCCCTCTCCCTCCACCCTTCCTGCCAATGAGGTGAACCTATTCATTAGGGTCCTACTAGCCTAGGCTGGGTGTCTTACTGTCTCCTTAGCAGCATTGCCCAAGAAGTGGAGTGTGAGTCCTTTCATTGGCTCTCCCCACAAACCTGTAAACACTCCTCTTTCTCTCCAACTCATTAGAATCTCTTTTTAAAAAAATGTCCAGGATAGCCATGTTCTTTCACCTGTTCTGGCCAAGACACTTTTCCTACAGTTAAGAATCTTCTCCCTCTTCTGGGGCTAAGCTGGAGGATGGAAATAAGCCAAAAAAACAGAACCTCACAGGCCATGCCACATTCCTTCCCTCCAGCAGTAATTTCAGGGTCTGAATGAAAGGAAAGTAAAAGGATCAAGACAGATCAAAATGTTAATCTCTAAAAATATTAACTCCCGCCTCCCACCACCACCATATGCACACACCAACCGGCCAAGACATCATAAATATTAATGACTTGCTGGAAAGTAGCGTGGTTCAAGGCAAGTGTACAAATGCCTCTTCAGGAACCTCAACCTTAAATTCAAAAGGAAACTCACAAGCTCGCCCTCCTCAATTAAATTCTCCTCTGCCTTTTCTTTTCTCTATTTCTATTAATAGAATCATCAGACAAGCAACATACCAAGCTAGAAAGTGGTGTCACCTTCAACTTTTTCTCCTTTCCCTTAATCTCTTCTATCCCTCAAATAACAAATCATCTCCAGTCTAAT